CCTGACCTCCTATCATCCAGCTCTTTCATTAGTTTCACCAATGCTAATCCTTAGGAAGATCAGGTCTGCACAATAAAATGTGGTCTCAATTGAATTCTTCATTGAAAATACCAAGTTTTGTTAACTGCAGTGGATCTAGTTCAAAACCAGGGCAAGCTTATGTCCATGGCACGGAAGGCAGTTATTTTTTTCACCCACTGTTTATAATCTTGATAAACAATGTGACCTGTATATAAATTTAAGTCCTCTCAAATGTCATGTTGGAAAATTTGGAGAAAATTAATTTTTTCTGTAATATACAAATATATAAATATTGAAATATTTAAATTTTATTTTTAAAGAGAAATCTGTAACTTAAAGATGTAACACTAGCATTTTTAAAGTGCAGACAAGTGTGTTCTGTCTTGTGCTTGTTTCCTTCCAAAAGGGATTATTTTCTAATGCCTTTTTTCTGTTCAGATTTTTTGGAAGCACCAATCTGTGAGTATTCTAATACTTGTGTAGATAATCTGTGTTGTTGCCTTGATACAATTTGATTCAATTTTTTTCATCTCTTTCTTAATATAGTCGTCTGAGTTACAGTTCAGTGTACTTGGCTGAATAATTCTTTTTCCTTAACTGACATCCTTAATGTGCCTGGGACTGTGCTTTTTCCTCCCCTGCCTTGGGCAGAGATGTCCAAACCTAATGAAGCCTATTGTTCTAACTCTTAAAAAAGTTCCTTTGCAGCTGATGAGGCTTGGCCTACTCTTTAAATATTAGAATTTAAGCAAATGTGAAATACTAAGCAAATATTCACTCAACTCTGCTATAGAAAAATTGAAAAAAAAAGTCTATTTTGGATAGTTTCTGTTAAACCAAAATAGTTCATTTCTATGAATGTTATATTAATGGAAATATTTATTTGTGAAATTACATATGAAGCATGGTGGGAAATACAGTCTTGAGGAAGGGAGGAATCCCAGATCAAATTTCTCTTGGAACAGTTTTGAAACAGGAGCTTGGAACAGTTTTGAAACCAAATTTGAAAGTAAGATAGCATGGAGGCTGGTAATGGAAATTTGAAGATCTAATGCTTGATTTCATCTCATCTTGAGAGTAACCTTCAGTGAAAGTATATTTCCTCTAAGTTCCCACATAAGAGTTAAAAGAGGGACTATATCAATGAGTCGATTTGGCTTAGGAACTCACTTCTTTTGCTTCTGTTTGCAGTCTGAAGTGGTTTTGGACCACATGGAGCACATACAACTGAGCTGGGAGATGCAGTCTGGCTGCACACAAGCAGCCAAACCGTGGGACCAGGCAAAAGTAAAAACAAAACAAAAAACCCTCTGGAAACACAATTATTGGAATGTTGGCTTCTCAGATCCAACAGTTTGCAATAAGTATCCTTGTGCCACCAGTGGTCCTAAACTTGCACAAGTGCTCTTGGCTGCTCTGTGGATACAGGGTTTTGTCCTTGTCTGTGGTTGGAGAGGCTGAGTGTTTTCATTTGCTTTCTGTTCTTGTCCAGCTGGGGAGCAGGAAAGAGAAAAGTCTAGAAAGATGATGGAGAATGTTTTACCTGAGAGAGGTCATCAACTTCTAAATTTTATTTGGGTCCAAATGCACCCTCAGAGGGTCTCACAAAGCACGTCCTACGAAGAGCAGAGGGCTAGGCAAAAGACAGGTTTTGCAAAATAAAATAAGCAGTAGCAATTTCAAGTAGCATTATATGTGTCTTTAAAACTGTTCTTTTTAATGATTCTGTTTACAGTAAATCAGTATTTATTTTTAAAATTTAAAATTATGATAAAGCAGGTAAAAGTCTTTAATTTTAAATCATAATTTTAATTTTGGTTAAATTATATTTTTATATTTTAATGAAAATTAGAAATGAAACCCATTGTTGTATTGAATTCTTTCTCCTTTTTGCTAATATAAAGTTTTAATAATGTTTTATTAAAAATTAAATATAATTATCCTCTGAGAAACCTTCTTTTATGGTATAAGCAAACTATACACAGAAATACATCTAAAATATTCTTAAAAATCCAAGTGTATTATTTAATAGAAGTTCACCTCTCCCCTTTGAGGACAGATAAGAAATGTTAATATGTTAATTTCTAAAACCATCTGGTTATACTTTATATAGTAGTACCATTTCAGGGATTTGCAAAAATATTTTGCTATACTAAGTGGTAAAGAGCAGCACTCAGCTCAAGCCTCAAAGCACACAAAGGTGTGTGATGACTGAAAGATTTCTCAAACCACCATGACATGGCAACATTTGTGTGTCATTGTCTGCTATGTTATAAAGGGCCGATTCAATTCAACAGAGGGGTAATACCTGCAGGTCTGGTGCAAGTGTAACTAATACAGACCCTGCTGAGGAGTTACCATGCATTACTAATGAGGGACATGCAGCCAGGAAGTTGTATGCAACACTCACAAAGCTCCTGATGCCGTATGTAGCTACCAAGCTCGATGTCTCCTTTTATTTTCCTTTTTTTGCATTGCGTTGTTTTAAATAATACATTCAATTAACTAATTTTTAAAGGATTTAAACACACTGTAGAAATACATTGTTCTAAGATGTCATGTAATCAAAGCCATTAATTTGGATAAATTCCCTATTCCTAACTTATACTGAAATGAACATTGTAGGAAAGCTCAGTTTAATGATACCATGGAGTATATTCTTGCTTCATTCACTGCTGTCCTCTTTGCAAGGTAAGAATTTTATTCCATTTCTTTTAACTTTTACAAAGATTTCTCTAAGTATTTTTCTATCATTATATTTTTTGACCTTGCTGGAATTTATAAATGCAAATTAAACATATATATCACCATTCTCTCTCACAGGTGTAGAAACTAAAATATAACTTTTTTTAAGATACATTTTTATATTTCTGAATTTGTTACAAAACAATTACTTATGAACAAAATCTAAGTTTCTTGTATTTCTTGCTATTTTTGTCAGATGAATAAGCATTTTCAATGGGATATGATTTTGTCTGAACAGACTGCACCTGCAGTTTAAAATTTTTAGACTGATAGGGGAAATAATTGCTCTTCTAATTACAGAAATGATGTTATTTTCTATGTTGTGCAACTGGATCTTGCAGATAGTTTTCATGCAGCAATTATAAAGATTTCTAAGGCAATAAGAGAAATTGTGTTGTTGTTTTGTGTATTTGTTTTTGTTTGTTTATTTGTTTCCTTGTTTTAAACATGGACTAATTTAAAATTATTTACAATTGAATCTTACAAGTAACACTCAGAAAATTATTATAACCCTAGAAGTTTGATTCTGAAAAGCTCTGACCACCTCTTGTATTTTATCTGTTTTGTTCTGAGCCTCTGAAGAACTATGAACTCTTTTCCCTCTTTCATGGGAGCATGTACCAGAACTGAGACCATGAAAACTTGCAGGTGAATAATGCTTGAGAGAATCAAGTCCTCAGGAAAGAAAGCATGTAATGCTACATTCCTTGGAAACAGAAAAATTTTGTGCAAAGATGCTCTATAAAACCCAGGATCATTGAAAAACAAAATTCAGTAGTGTTGTTTTAAACTTGACATTGCTTGCCAAGGACAGAGTAATGCTGTAGGAAAAAACTGTTTAACTTGATGACTTTTTAATCTGCAGGATCTTATTGCAAGCTTTCTCCTTTGAGAAGAACTTTGAGGTAAGGTTTTGTTCCTTATTTGTCAAGTCCTACTAACAGAACAAGAATGAGTAAGTGTGACGCAGTGCAAGTTAGAAAGTAAAATATAGCCTTGAATTCAACATGTAAAATGTCATCTACATGTAGGTTGGATGTAGAGCACACTTTCAGAATGTTTACAACTCTTTTCAAAGTATTTACATAATGGGCACGGGTCCTTCATTTGAAAAATGGAGTTCCTTATGAAAAACGATACTTCTATGGTCTTGAGAATGCTTAGAGGAATAATGGAATGAAACCAGCATGAGATCATGATTTCATGACTGGAAAAATACATTAAATGAGTATCCTTCTACAGTCTTAATTGCATGATAAAATCGTAGCTGCTATTTGAAGCACAGAGAAGTAAGTGCTGTATAACCTTAAAATAAACATTTTCAATACAAATCTTCATGTAGAAGCTGAAATCCAAACAAAACCCAAACTAGGGAATGTTCCTGATCCCATTGAATTAAATGGGAACTATGCCATCCATTTCAATGGAAGCATCCAGTTGGACGTAGCTTCAAATGTCTAATGACCTCTAATACATCTAGCGAACACACATGCAAATCTTGGAGTATTGATAGAACTAAGCGTGTTTTATAGTTTGACGCCCTTGTTTTGAAACTTAATCACAAATTTAAGTTGGCTCCAGCTGGAAAGTCATCTCTTGCTATTACAAGTACCATCACAGTATATTCAAGCAACACTCAGGGGAACTTACAGCCACTCACACATAGCATCAACTAAATATGAAGTGGCTTTACAGTTTTGTATCCTGTTGTGTAAGCCTGTATTGCCTATTTATGTTTCCCCACAGGCTCCAGGTACCTCCCTGTCCAAGCAGAGATCAGAGTGCTGCCCAATTCGGTAAAATGAGACAATGACAAAAAAAAAAAAAAGAAAAAAATAATCACCTTTTTGAATGTTAACCCAAGAAAGACCTCTTTGATAAAGTTATGGTAATCAGAGAGAAACACTTCTCTCAAGGGAGTTGCTTATTCAGGTTGCTCCAGGGACCTTTGATAATACAAGATCCTTTTTGTTTTCTTCCAGAAATGAGTTTAATGCAACTCGACAGAAAAGAGATCTTGTAACAGCCGAGGTAGGTTATACCTCCAAAAGTGGGAGGGAGGGAAAACCCTCCTCCCTTTTCTGCTCTGGACCTTTGCCATCCTTACAAATGAGCCTTTGTGGGGAGAAGGGCTGCAGTAACAGGAGGACAGTGAGGACAGGAGCAGCCAGTCCCCATCTGCCCAGCCCCGACTGACCCAGGGCCTCATGCCTTCATTCACTCTCAGCAGAGCACCCAGTGGGCAACCTTCCCTGATGAGCTGACTGACGCATACCATGGGAAATAAACCCACCATGTCTCTCTCTGTCTTTTGTGAGAGTGAACAGAATGTCCTGGAAAGCTGTTTGTGTTTGGTGAGAGGCACAATGGTGGCGCCGCTGGCAAGGCTCCCTCACGCACGTGGTCAATGGTGGCTCCAGCACAGCCCTGGTTCCTATTGCCCCAGCTCCCTGCTGCCTCAGTGTTGCACCTCGGCAATGCTGCTCTGAAATTTAGTAGTAAACGGAGAAATCTCATTCCCCCACTGGTACGCACTTGGGTTATGGACCCCAGCCAAGGGTTATAACCCCGTTTGACAGGGGTAGGCAGGAAGCCGGAGACTGTCTCTCCTCAGGGTCTTTGCGAGGAGCCTGCAGCCGAACCAGGGCTGATTTACTCCAAGTGCCTTTGCGATCTGTGTGCCCCTGACTGAGTCAGAAGGCAGTGGGTGTGAAATGCTGTGCTAAAATCAACCGAGCCTCTGAGACAAGTGGACTGGTGGTATCTTTGGAGGGGGCCTCAGCATGGAAGTGCTGTTGCACCAAGGACGCTTTACTGCCCCAAAATAACACAAAGGCCAAAAGCCACTTTCCTGAGGCAGGCAGTTTAGAGTAGCTATCATGGAAAATGAAAATGGGTCTTGTGCAGGGAGGGAAGGGACACCTTTCAGCTAGCAACGGGCCATGGGAACCAGGAATAGTTTTGGTAGGGGGGCCTTCCAGGTGATGATTTGATGAAATCTATTTCAAGTTGATTTTAGACAGATCATGCTACTTGGATGCATCCCACTAAGCATTTCCATTTGGAAAAAGGAAGTCTTTATGTCACTGTAAGAGGCATTAGTAAGACTTAACCTAACATGTTCCTTTCATGGCACTGTTCACTTTCAAATCCATCAGTTCAAATTCCAGAAGTGGAGAATGACTGGTGTCAAGAGGGAAGAAAGAAATTAGCTTATAAGCAAAGATTAAAACAATTTTTGTACTTAGTTGTGCAGCCTAAGGGTGGTGCTTATGTCTGTGGGGAGCACAGAAGGGTGACTGTTTTTCTCACAGATTATCAAATAGGAAATAAGTAAAAAAGAGAGGAAAGAGTAGCTATTTAAGCAAAAGGGCCCAGATTTATAAAAGAAGGGATTTAAACTGGCCATGAATAAATGTAAATGGGAAATATGTAGCTACTCATCACTTCACCCTGCTAAACTTTTCAGTCAGACTAGTTGGGGGCAAAAGCCCCAGATTACTTTCAGCCTGGAATAGGATCAGTTCTTGGAAGGAACAATGTGACGTGACAAGCTGCAGTAGCAGGGTGCTTGGGCAGATCCAAGGCTTCCTCATAGTCTGATGCTCCCTTGTTCCTAAACAGGAAGCAGCTCAGGCAGATCCACTTTCTCTTTTGTTTGGGATGAACCAAAATGCAATTCTGAAGGTCCTCAAGGAGGACATGAAATCCATTGCGGCTAGAGTGGCCACAGTGGGATGATCAGGGTGCAGCACAGAGCATGAGTCAAGGGAGAGGATGAAATAAGGGATGTCACATCTTCAAGCTCACCAGCTATGGGTATTTGACTGAAGTGAAAATGGCAGATTGTTCTCTGTCTCCTCACTTTTCCTTCTAAATGTAAATGCAAAACTTCCCAGGTGGAGCCCCAGTGGTTCACTGGAACTGGAGGGCATGAGGGAAAGCAAGCAGTGATCTCACAGCACAGCTGTGTCCATTCTCATCCCCTCAAAACCTGTGCTTTTCCTCTGCAGCCTGCCAATCCCTCCTGCAGCACCCACGACTTTACCTTGCTGGCTGAGATGTAAATTGCTGTTCTGTATTAAAAGTCCCAACCCAATGTTTGGGTGCAAGTACTCAGGCTCTTATCAGCTCATTTGTAAACCACAAACACCCTGATTTTGCTTTTATGTTTCTCTGACAGGTTCAAACTGCGTCTTTGTTGCATCTTCATGGGACCCAGATGCAGAGTCCACCAGGAGGTGAGTGCTGTGCTCCTCACCCGTGGGAGGAGAGAGTCCTGAAAATACTGCCTTCCTACCAGTTCCCTTGTGTTACCATGGGCTGTGGAACCCCTCTTCCTTATGTCCTCTACAAAACCCTGCCCTGTCTCATTTTCTCATGTTATCCATGTTAAATTAAGAAAAAATCCTATTAAAATTGTACTTTCAAAATAAAGCCTTACAACCAAATCTGAACAGCCAACTAAGCCAATACTTTGATATTGTTTGTTTTTTTTTTTAAAAATTTAGGTCTGTTGCAATTTTTCTTTTCTGCCACTTTTTTTCTGGCCTTGGCAGAGGATGTAGGTATGTCAGAGAGACAAGTAACTGGTTGTGCAAAGGGACAGGGGTGCTCAGGCAATGAACACGCATCTGCTCCGGGAGAGTCTTAAGCATTGTACAACCATGTAAAGGAGGCCCAGGTTACAGAAGTTGTTTTACAGAACAGTTCATTGTATTCAACTTGGGTTGGAATTTTGGTATCCTTCTTGGAAAATGCCTGGGCAGGTCCTTTCTGTTGCATTTTTCTATGTAAAAGGATATATGCAATTTTGCAACTCACAATTCTAACAACAACAAAGAAGTTTTCCACTTCCACCAACCACAGAAGTTGGTGCTATTCTAGAAGCAATATTTTCTGCTTTGTCAGTATTTTCAGAGTACCTATGTATATTTGGAAAGCAATTCTTTAATGGAAAAAATTCAAAACTAAGCATGCAAAGGAATTTTCACAATGAAGGATGATGTTCATAATAATTGGTAGCTTCTGTGTACATTTAATGTAAAGGTCCCATTTTATTCCCATTCAAGATCACTGGCAGCTTTTTTAATCTCCATCAGCAACACTGAAAGCTTTTGTATGTAGGGTTTTAATCCTACTCCAAGAAGGAAAACAGCTATCTGCAAAACCTGATGAAGTTTTGCTTTGGGACTACTTTTCTTCTCCACTTTTGGGGAATTATGATTTAGACCCCCCTCAACAAATGATTAGTAAACAACAGGGAGGTCTTAGCTTTCAAACACACTATAAAACCCTTTAATGTAACTGCTTTTGGAAACAATTACTAATTATAAAACAAGCCATTCCCATGGAATCTAAAGTCTCTGACTCCAGTCACCTCTTAAGCAGAAAAAACCTTCTAACTGACTTTTTTTAGCATGTGGAGAAGGTTGTTTATGACTGGTTTTGACTCTGTAAATTATATATTCTGGACTAATCATAAACTGAATGTACCCTTTGCTGTAATGCTTAGGAGGGAGGAGCTGAACATATGTATAAATTATGCTGAATTTAGTCAATTAGAATAATCTGTGTCCTGCATATTTTGAGATCAGCAGGACTGGGATTTGATTTCTTTACATGGGAACTTGACCTTTTGTTTGCTGGGAGGAGGTTGACCTTTTGCTCCTTTGTTAGTTTACAAGTCTCGAACCAAAAGAGAGAGAACCTTGTTTCTCTTTTAACCAAGGAACCCAAAGGATAAAATTATGTAAATGTTAAAAAATGGAGATTGTTGTTTGTTAATTTTCTCAGCTAATATAACTGCTTGTGATTTAACAATAAACAGATTTAATAGGGATCTTGCAGCCTGTTTGCAAAATACTGTATCTACTAAAAGGCTGCTATGCCTGCTTACAGGTTCATGTCCTCAGGAGTGCCTTAATGGAGCAGCCTGCACAGAGGCAGGTGATTGTGACTGTCAGTTATTTCAGGCTCAAGGAAACAGGTGCCAAATTGGTAAGTTTTGGGCCAAAGGGTTTAGTTTCAGCTTCAAGGGAGATGCAGGTTTTTAAAACAATACTGTTAGCAGCATATTTGTGATTCCTCTGTGGTAAAACTGTCATTCAACAAGTAGCTAGGAGTGTTAGGGATGTATAGAGAGCAGGAATGCCTATATTTTAGCACTTGGGCTGTAACAATGCCCAGATGCCATAATAGACAGATCACTGTCTAGTGCATCCATAGCCAAACAGATTTTTTATAGTTAGCTGAACAACCAAAAAGCCACTGCCTTTTTTCTAACAGTGAGTTACTGCAAATAAAATTACCAACTATTTCAGTGCACTAGTTTCTGTAATTTGCTGTTTGTAGGGGTCGACAAGAATTGTCTTCCATTATTGGGAGGATATCGAAATCCCTGGCCTCTATTTGTAATTAAAATGTATCCACTGAAGCAAATAAAAAACTTAATGATGGTTGCATATGGTTAAAACTACAGACTAAAGATTAAGAAAAATACTGACTTTATTTAAAGTTGAAGAAATAAGTTTATCTTTTGTACTTGCTATGTATTTCCTTTTAAGCTCTTATTTCCTTTCTGAGCTCCTACTTTCATAGATGCCTGTGACACCTGTCAATTTGTTATGACAGTGCTTGGTGTAAACTCACTGTGCTCTCTCCAGTACCTAACACTGGTAAGGACCGAGATGGGATTTGCAAGTCGTGGGGACAGTACCATTTTGAAACATTTGATGGCATCTACTACTACTTCCCAGGAAATTGCTCCTATATTTTTGCAAAAGATTGCAGTACTCCAGAACCCCAGTACACTGTTTGGGTAAGTATGTGAACATAGACTAGAAATAAGTATGTAAGTAAATATAGAAGTAAATGAGTAAGTAAAATAAGTAGAGAGTCAGCAAATGTACCAAATTGCTCACTGCTTACTTAGACGTAAAATTATTTTCTGGAAATACTTAAACATATGTACAGTAATTCAAAATACTGGTGAAATTATAATCAACAGAGTCAGGATGTTAAAAATAGTATTTCTTACTCCTCCTCTCCTTAATGAGATTTTTGATCTCTACCTTCTTGGAGATACCATGGATCTCAAAGCAAACCTTGGAAACTTCAATGAACTGAAGCTATCAGATAATAAGAAAAACTGATTTGTTGAGTAAAGTGCAAGCAGCTATCACTTGCCAGGCACCTGAGCATACTGGGCCCCAATTCACAGCCTCTGACATGCTGTGAGGATCTGCCTTCCTGGCCGATGGGATTTGCTCTCCCATCCTGTCCCCTCTGGGGATTTGCATTCTAATTTTGGATAGCCTCTAAATCATGCCGAGAAGATTAACAGCTCAAAAGCCTTCATCTTGAACTATGTATGGAAGGCACTCTTTTTAGTAATTTCTTCAAGTTACTGGGTATCTGTGGTTAATGACTTTGGATCAGGGAGAGTTCAAACCTATACCCTGTTTGAAGAAAGATGCCCTGTTTGTCAGACTGTTAGTTACTGTGGGGAGAGCATACAAGCTCATTATATTACTTCATACACAATGGTTGGAATTTAGTGCTGACTGGGCAGGGAAAAGTGGACAAGAGGGGTCCTAATTCTGAGCTTTGGTGGGTACAGTGCTTGCAGGGATGAGGGCAGATCTACATGCTGACTTCTGCTCTGAGGACTTTTTTCATTTATAAACAGATGATCTCCTCTTCCCTCAGATAACAGCACTTAGTGAAGATAAATCTACCATTAAAACTGCCATTTCTATTTACTGAAGATATAGAGAGATGCTGTTACATCTACCTTCCACAATATAATTTTAATTTTTTGGATTCTATATGCAGCTGTGAACTGTTAGGAGTTTTCAGAAATTGCTGTAGCAAAGTCCAGTATTATATTAAAATCTAGAATCAATATTTCAGTGAATTCCAGTTGCTCTGGAAAGAGAGAAGCTTCCATTCAATTGCTGGAACAAATGTAATGTTTTACTAAAAATTGAAAATGTTTACTCAGCAAATTCATAAGTAATGTGAGACTGCAGTCTCTACAGACTGGGCAATGGAGAGCCTAAAACCTTGCCAAATCCTCACACTGAGGTCCTTCTGGCTTTAATAATCCACCTCTTAAGAGGAGAAAAAAACCACAAAAATTATTTTGATTTTCCTTCATTGTGTTTCTGTCTTAGGCTGGGTTTACAGAGAAGCCATCTGTCAGTACTAGTAATGTTTATGTTGTCTTTAATTATGATTATTTTTATACCTGTAAAAACACTTAATGCTTTTCCGGGTTTGGTTTATTTCACTCAAAGAAACAGTAATTGGTTCTTACTTCCAGGATTAAGTGTCAGTTAAGGAAGATTAATTCAAGTATGTGTTAGCACTGTATGTGGTGCACAGATATTTTCTACAAAAGGTATTTTTACAGCCTCCATTGCTACATTGGTAAAATGTTCCCAATTACGAATTTATTTAGCTTCACAGTACTGTCAAGTAAACTTGTAATGCAATTCCCATCCTTCTCAAAGAATGGTGACACACACAGTAACATAAGTCATATTTGAGTTATCGAAACTGTGTCTACATTTTAATTTAGGTAATGATAGGCATCTAAGATTCAAAACACATTCCCCTGTCTCTTCGGTGGTGTCTAAAATAAACTCACAGGCTTTTGAAGCACTATAGTACATCCTACAGGTTCGGGAGGCTCAACCCCACAGAGATTAATGAAAGCTATTGAAGAAGTTTTACTCAAGCAAAACCACACTATTTTCAAGTCCTGAGAGTGCTGTATTCAAGATAGAGAAGCTGATATATGACTCAAACAAATCCCCTTGCTTACTCTGCTATATATGTATAATGGGGAGAAGCACACTTCAGAAAAGTCTACCTTTCTCCATTAGCAGGGCTGGAAAGCCAGTGTAAAATGGATTTTACATTGGATTTAAATCCATTTAAAATGGATCCATGTAAATTAGATACCGGAAGTAATCTGTGGGAGCACTCCAAAATCTCAAAATATCCTGAGTGGTTCAGGAAGGCATGTTGTAGTTCAGTTGGTACGAGTCTCAGCTGGCAGGAGAGTGCTGGTATTATGCTGAAGTTTTGTACTGGTTTGTAGTCCTGTCTAATCGACCAGACCTCTAGAAACAGAGCAAGAGAGGTGTTTGCAAATAAGGAACTCCTACTTTGGCAGCTATAAGCTAGCTCACTACAGCGTCCCTGAAGTTCATTAGCGTAAAATACCTATTTCATCCAGTATTTTAATCACTGTCATATGATGCTTTGTGCTACTAAATGGTTGCTGTATTTCTCAGTAGTATTGGCTAGCATGAACTCCTGGTTTTGCATATCTTTGTAATTGTGACCTTTTAATATTCTAGGTATTTATTTGTAAAGCTCTTTCAGTAACTGGAGCATAGAAATGTAAAATATCATATATGAATTTATGAAAAATGCTGTGAAATTATTGAGAACAAACAGTTATTGTGTGCATATTTTTCCCATCGAAGGTTCATAACAGTCCCCACTGTTATGGTTCTGTATATACTTGTCAGAGGTCCATCAGCTTATTTTTTTCAAACCAGGAAGAAATAATTATTTCAGGCCATGAAGTAAGAAAAAATGGAATCAGGTAAGTTTTCTAATGGTGGGGTTTAGTATTTTATTGCAAAAAGATGATGTGGAGTTAGAGAAATTGATGCTTTTTACACCATCCAAATAAAATAATTCGATCTATGTCTGTATTGATCCTTTGCTGTTCTATATTGGAGCTGACAGAGCTCTAGTGTGAGGAGATGTAACAGTACTGATGTTATACCTGAGAGAGAATAGCACACACTCCACGCATTAACCCTGAGTTCAGCTTCTCAGCTGTAACCTAACAATTATTCATTACTACTTTGTACAGGTAAAGTCTGTGTCAGGCAGCCCTAGCTAATCCTTGGTGCATCCTGATACCATTTTGAACAAGACAGTCATTGTTTATTCTTGGTAGCTATAGCTAGTACAAGACACAATCTTCTTCCAGATGAGTCTGAATTGGTTAAAACAAAGATTCTAAGCCCCTTTGAGGCACAAACTTCACAAAACTTCTCTGAGGTACATCAACCCCCAAAATTTACCTTTTTTTTTCTTTTTTTTTAATAAGTAAAAAGATGATCTCAAGGCTATCAGAAGTTTATTTTACTAGTTGATAAATTACAGAAAATTCAGAGAGTTAAGGTGGTTTTGTGGATATTAGTGTCTGAAACTGATAGCTACAGTGATACCATTCAACCCAACAGAAACAACTTTGGAAGACTAGCATTAGATCTGTGCTTATTATTGTCCAGTGGTCTTTGATCAAGGGAGGAAGAGATACAACTTTTTTGTCAATAGTATTTTCTGTACTGTAAGTTTCTCCATTTGCAGATGTCTAACCCAGTGATGACCCGGTGCCCAGAAGGTCATAACATCAAACAGCTCCTTGCCCAATGCAGCATGCTCGTGAAGTCAAGTATTCCTCAGTGTGCTGAACTGGGCTTTGAAAGTGAAGATTCACTATTCTCTCAGGCTTATAATTGGTACAACTAATAGGTGTATACAAGAGAAAAGCATTCATTTTTGATGGTTGATGTAGAGAAGTAAACAGAAGAAAAGATAATAAAAACATGATGAAGAATTGAATGGAGTGACTGCATACACCAGGGAAAAGGGGTTTAGTGAGTTAGGTGGTGATGTTTTATGTGGTATTTTTCTAGCAAGAACCTCATCTCATCTGAGATCTTTGAAGCAGACAATTTTTTTCCAGATTAATGTTGCCTCAGACAGTTGGAAATGCTTTTCTCGAGAGACTGGCTGACTATATTCTGGTGAAGACTACCTTTGGTTTTTCTCTTGCTTGGGATGGAAACTCTGGTATTTATATTAAGCTGACAGAAGATCATAAGAGAAAACCTTGTGGCCTTTGTGGAAATTTTAATGGCAATAAATATGATGACCTGATACTGCAAAATAGTAAGTAAATAGCTTACCGTTAACTTGTGTAAACAACTTCTATGTTAACTTTAAATATAATGCTGTTTAAATATAATGGTGTAAATAGTCAGAGTCCTCTTTCAGTTATTTCAGTAAAATAGTGTATCTGCTCTACTTTTGCTTCTCCTTATCATTCAAAATTCAAATGGAAAAGTTTCTAGTTCAAAAAATAATCCATATGTGCATTTAAGCGTTTTCTTGGTCAACAAAGCACTTGGGGTATGTTTATCTTTGCTGATGAAAGTGCCTTCAAATAATAAATAAATAAATGTTTGTGGTTTTATCTGTGTTTAAAGATGAAGGGAAAAGCACCATCTCAAGTCATTCTTTTATATCAGCATCATAAAAATACTAGTTGAAATCTGTAAATTTCTGAACTGTTGCCAGGGAGTTCCTTGTATCTCCTTGTTGGTATGGTGTCCTATGGTCCTCCAACTATGCTGTAGAATGAGGAGCTGCCCAATGCTGTGTCTGAGGCAGAGAGGAGTTAAACTCGTATTCTGTAGTCCATGAAGGGAATACTCCATAGGGACTTTTTTCCTACTTGCAACTAATGTGAGAAAAAAGAAAAAGAACAAGTTTGAGAATATGACTAATATTTTTCTCAGTCTCTTATAAAAACAAGACAGGACTATTTTATTGTTACCATTAACTGCAAGGAGAACCTAGTCCCAAGGCTCTCCTTGTTCTTAAGTCTCAAATGTTGTCTCATTAACTTTTTTTCACCATTTTTTATGGTTGATAGTGGAGCTTTTTAACTTTCTTAGTGAAGGAAGACTCAGTGTACATATCTTTGCATAATCTTTAAAAATCTGCCCAGTATAAATTTCTCATACTTCTTCTGCAACGAGAGCAATAAGTTTTGTGCATTAACTTCTGCACACCAGACTATGGTATGTTTAATAACCAGCTTAAACTGATGATGTTTTATAATAGAGAAAAATGGTATTTGATGGAATTAATGAATTCACATGATCTCTGAAAAAATAGTAATTTCAGGATCTTTAAATATATTATCTGTTGTAAAAGACTTACAGTTCTTACCTTACTTCATTTTCAGAGCTACATTTCTCTGCCATCATCACTCCTTCTTGCTTTTTCTTTATCAGAAATGATAGCGTTATTGTAGCGTACAATTGAGAGCCACATGAATCGTGTTAACCTTGAGCCAGTTGTATCACATGGTGCCTTGCCTCTGCAAATACAAAGCACGAAGTCCTGAGATCTTCACAAGAATACATTGCTAATTCAAATTACTTCCAAGCTGCAACATTTTTCTAAGAGTTTCCAAATCTTATCAATCATTTGATATGATGATTTAGCTCTTCCAGCTAAACTACTCCCCCCAGTAGTATAAAGGAAGCTCTTACATCTATCAAGAGTCTTCCAGAGTCCAAATGCTCTTTATATGTAATGCTCAAATAAATAAGTTGCTGAGAGGCACATAATGCTCCATTTCAAAGCACAGTTTAAAAACAAACTCCTTTTCTGTTTCCTTATCTTAATTTTTAATGCCATCTTTGTATTGCAAGACTGTATCTGTGTACAGAATTGTTTCAAGGACCATGATTTTATTTTGTGGTGTTTCTTGAAGACTTAGAAGTTTTTTTCAAGCCATGTTAAAATGTAAATAAAATAATTTTAATGTGTTTGTAGAAGCAGAGCTATGTCAATAGATTTACCTCAGCTTTTTTTGTTTGGGAAGGGTTTTCTGCATAAAGAACTACTCTGACAGAGAGGGAGAAATATTTTAAGGCTCTCTGACTCTTAAGTAAAACAGCTGGTTAGGATCTTATCTTTGTTTATTTGTGGAGATCTAAGTATACATATCCGATTAGTATGTTTTGTGGCTTTCCACACTGCAGTGTCCAACTTTGTACTTCTTGTACTAGAAGTACAGCTAGTAGTATAGCTCTGTGAAAAAAACCCTCTAGCTGATTTCATTTCAGTATCCTATCTCCTAACCATTCATAGATGTAGATAACCATAGCATAGATACTAATTATTATAAGGTTCTTCAAGGTAGAGGCAATATACCCTTTTTAACATAATAAAGAATATAGAGAAAACGCAATATTTAGTTCTTGCTGCAAATATATGGGAAATTTGGGTCTGTTTCTTTGCTGCCAACCTTCTTGTATATCCATGTATCTTAACTTCTTGCCATGACTTCTAGTCATGCATCTTGTTTATTAGTTCTCCCAAGCTTATGCTGTGAGGAGAGCTGGGCATGTTGTGGTATGTTTGTTGTAGGGCTTTTCTGCAACAAGGGAAAAGGAGGGAGATAATAGCACTAACTGACCTCTGTGAAACATGATGAAAGCCTTAAATGTTTCAAAGAAATGTATTTTTTCTTAAGTATTTAATGCATTACACTTGTATATTTGTTATAGAAGTTATACAAGTTATATTTGTTATACAAATATACTTGTACATTTGTTTTATAACAAATATACAATTTATATATTTGTTATAAAATTATCAGTAATGGCACCTACAAAAACCCAAACCAACACCTTGTCATGTGTTTTTTAATGTTTTTATTTAAATGTATTATAAAATGGGATCTGAAATAAAAAAAGAAAAATAGCATTTTTCTTCACCATTCATACTCTGAAAACATTTGTAATTGAGATTATGAACACACTGAAAAATGATTAGAAATTTCGAAGACGTCTTTTGTATTTGTATCAACAACTTCTTTTTCATTGTTGTTCTCCCAATGTTTTCATGCAGTAGGTGATTATACAGAAGACATTGCTGAATTTGCAAATAGTTGGGCTGTGCAATCCTCAGGTGATGTAGCTTGTGTACCTACTGCCTCAGATTTTTTCAGTCCTTGCTCAGCTAATGGAGAATCCACTGAGGTAAATTAATCATGCTTTATACATATATACATATACATACATATATATATTCTTAATATTTGCTGCCTACTGATGGTACAAGAATCTAGCAATGTACACCATGTTGAAAAAAGTCTTAAATGCATTGAAGCTTTGAGAAAGGAAAGACTCAGGTCAGGGCTGTTGGTAGGGAGTTCTTCATATATTTAGCTTAAAAGTACAAAGGCTCAGATAGGATGTGCCAAGTGGCACCAGTCTGCTGGCAGAGCTCTTCATTACTACATTAAACTTGGGTTCAGTTTCCAGTCCTGGCATCTTACACCTCATTATTTTGGGAATTGTGAAATACTGCAGAAATAGCACGATCAGCTCCTGCACTGACACAAAGTGCTTCTTTTTCTCATTTCCCACTCTTTCATCCCAGATAGTTTAGGAACAGCATGCCTAGGCAGAGAGGGCAAATTTTAGGAAGAGTAATAAAAGAGATAAACTAATAAATTGAGACTGCAAGATTCTCAAAGTTTAATGGGGAAAGGATCCTATATTAGGGAAACAAAGCTAAAGAGAATTATGCCTGTTCAGAAAGTATTGGCTAACTGTCATTTACCGATTCTTCTTAATGCACAGGACGTATTCCTCAAATGCCAAATATTCCTACAGTTTCCTTTTCTCAGCTGTCATGAAAGTATAGATCCGTATTCTTATATTGCAAGCTGTATGAATGATCTTTGCAGGTAAGGCTGGAGTTCCTGTGTATTTAATTTTGACATATGAAATGAATGCTCATGCTTTTGTGTGAGACCAGAATGGAACAATGTTGAGGGCAGTTAAGAAGAACCAAGTTCAAAATGAAAGAGATGGGCTTTCTCAGGGGGTGATTTAGTGTGGAAACAAAGGGCACAGAACCAGCCCGCCAAGGGATATTTTGATTGCTAAGGGCTTACATGTATTCAAGGAAATACTAGACAAATAAATGGAAGATAAATCCATGGAGAATAACTAATGACAAAAGATGAACTACTAATCACAAAAAACCTGAAACCTGTATCTGAAGGGCCCAAACCAAAAATACATGATTATACTACTGAGAAATAACAATAATACTGGAGGAGCTGGACCATCTGTCTGATGCAGTTGGACTGTTTTTTATGAGTAATCACTATGGTTCAAACAAGTAGAATTTTAACAAAATGGTTTTACATATGTAAATTCAGAGTTGTCAAAAGAAATTCAACTCTCATTTGCTTTGGTGGGAGTCACACCCCCTCAGCTGCTGGCGTTGTGTGCAACCTGTTATTTTTCCCTTAGCTCTCCAGACTCCTGATTAGGTTTTGTCATTCAAGTTAAATTTGTAGTCCAGTAATTGAATAGATAACTGAGCAGTATACCACTTCCTTTGTAGTAAGGTTTTCAAATTAAAAAGTAATTGTCATAAATAGCATGATTTTTACGAGATACTATTATGACCCTCTCAGAGTATTATCAATTTAATCAAAAACATACAGAAAGGATCTCAAGTCGAAACATAAAGATGTCTCAGTATAATCCATTACAACTTGTTAGTTCATTTTTGATGTATTCTGAGGTACCATAGAGTCAAGATGGAAGACTTTGTATTTGTAGGCAAATATCCAAGGTGCTCTTCCTAATGTTTATGATCTGTACATTGGTTTCATTTGGAGAAGAGTTGAGTTCCCTCTATATGGTCTCTTTGTAACTCAGGAGTTTACTGTGGCTTTTGAAGAATAATGAAAAGCAAATTTTCAAATTTCAAATAGGATATTGAATCAGTACGGTGATGTTAAGAGGGATTGGATTTTTTGTCAAAATGCTACTGTGTGTTGATGTCAACTGTGTGAATGTTAAAAACCTTGAAGTTTCTGTGTCTCATTAATTTAGGCTTATTTTGTTTGTAAAAGAGACCTCTCTTTTTGTGGCTTAGTCAGTTTATGAAGTTTTTTGTGGGGCCATAGTATTTGCCAAGTATTCTTTCTACTAAGACCCATTTAATTGGATTAGATAAGGAGAGCTGGAGAGACTGATTACTGTAACAAAGAGTATAGTGCTGTTTTATTTGATAACAGATGTGTTGAAAGCAGAATACAAACACAATATAACATATTTGTAAGACCATTAATTTTGGAAGCATGATCTTGTATGCTGAAAGGCAAACTCAGTTGATCTGTCTCAGTCATGCTTATAACAGAAATGTCATGTTATGAATTGGCATCAAATCCCCCACGGTAAGTGATGTGAGTTGTTGGACTTCCACAGTAACAAAAGGTTGGTGATATTTCACTGTATTGGACTTACATCTGAATACATTCTGAACTTATCTAAACATTAATGAATGTCTCTTTACCTGATCCTGGTAAAAGTGCACTGTAAGCTTCTTCTGTACAGACTAAGGCAGAGATATTGACTTTGCCCAAGGTTGTGTTGTAAATACCTGAGCCTGTCCACAGTATTCAGTGGATAATGCTTCTGGTTCTGAGCCCTTCAGCACAAGGTCAGGAGTCCACCAACAGGGTTCTTCTCACCTAAGTTAACAATCTTACAAGCAATTGGAAATTTGAAGTTCTTGGATCAGAATGTCTTTTGTCAGTGTAGGTCAGAGTTTCTACATCATGCAAGAGGCAGAGAGCCTGACATGGGGATCTTGAGACTGTTGAGTTGTCCATTGTCTTCAAGAAGAGGTCCTGATTCTCTTTCATCATAAACAGCATTTTTAATTTTTTTTTGTTTTTATAATAGATTAGTGTTTTTGCTCATTGTGGTAATATTAAAATGAAACAACTTTTTGTGAGATCGAATGATAAAAACACAACAGTGTATTCAGTACAACTCGTTCCTTTTTATATTTTCACTGTGGGCCATTATGACTGAGTGGTGTCAGCTATGTGTGAAATATCCTGTGCAATGTCCCATGGCTGAAATTTGTAGATGGGATTTGAGTTCCATGATTACTCTGTTATTTTATCATTTCAGAGTGGATGATGATGAAACATACTGCCGGGCAGTGACAGAGTACGCTAGAGCATGCTCTCACGCTGGGTCCCCGGTGCGGGACTGGAGGGATGACTTTCCTGCCTGTAGTAAGATTCTTTAATAAAGCATACTATGTGACTTTTGAGATATCACATGTATTAATTTAAAATAATTCCATCTTGCCAACATTTGTCACTACAGAACTCAGACCTGATACTGAAGTTGATCACCAGTTTCACTATTGCTGGCAAACAATGAAGTCAATGACTTGCTAGAAGAATATTTTAATTCTATTGTGATATGATTTAGATCCATACAAAATTCTTGTTTGTGCAGATTACTAGAAACGTCATGTGTGCTGATAATATTCTAGGAAAAAGAACAAACATCTGTGGAGATCTGTTATTGCTCCTTGTCCCAGAAGACCTTTCAGCCTCTACTGGCCCTATAACAGAATTAACTTAGTTAATCCAGCTCCTTCTAGTTATCACCACCACCCATCAACTGCAGCTCAGTTATGCAACTCATGCACAGGGCTTTGAACTAGCTGAGATATGAGCACATATTCCTCTGTCACAGAAATTATAACTTATTTTGGAGGGATGGTATAAGAATTTGGTAAAGAAAAGCTTAAATACTGTTGAGAGGTTCACCATAGATCATCAGTTAAAACCCCTCCAAAACATCCATTGTACTTTATCTGACTAACTACCTATACCAGAAGCACTGCACAACTGTTTTTTTGACAGAGGGGGGTTTTCCAACATGGAAAGGAAAAATTGCACTAATGTTCAATATACCGTGGGTTTTTTTTTCTAGCTGAGAAGTGTGAAGACAGCTTTGTTCACCGTGACTGTATCAGTTGTTGTCCACCAACCTGCACATTTGAAAAAGATTGTCTTGGCAGCAACTTGCACTGTTTAGATGGCTGTTACTGTCCAGATGGTAAATACTGTCAATGTTACATGAAAAAATACATGTAAAGCTAGTACCCAACATCATAATAAAGTCTGAATAGACCGTGCTTGAAATTGAATCCTGAAAATACGAATATTGTAAATTCTGCCCTAGCTGTTATTATTGTCACTGTAATTCTTCCTTTTATTGCATGCTAAACATTTCTCTAGAATAGAGGTATGTCAGCTTGCAATACCAGTTACAATCTGGAGCCACTACTAATGCTTCCTACAATAAGATGTTGCATAGATTTAGTCCACTTTATTTGAATTATTCCAAAATCTATAGAAATTTTGCTTTAACAGAATTTGTCTCACTCTGTACAAGACGTCAAACTTTCTGAGATCTGTACTCAACAAAAATTATTGACTAGACTATGAACAGTCCTATTTAGAAGGACTAAAGATAATGAGATTTCAGAATCTTTTCATTTTTGAGTCTGTACAGTTTTACATGCTTAAAGCAGACATTTTTCATAAATCAACGATTCACAGTGACAACTGCTTTTTAGAGAACTTCACTCTGAGCTCATCACTCTGAGCTCTCTGCACTCGCTGGGCGACTGTTTTTGCTGCTTCTTGTCTAAGGCTGGTGAGATCACCTTCTGGCAGATTTAAATGTCAGATGGGGGAAGAGCAGTGATCTGGAGTTTGTTAGTTTGTTTTTTATCTCATTTATTCACTTCTCTCCCAATAGGTCTCATTATGGAAAATGGAACTTGTATCTCTTTGTCGAATTGTCCTTGTACTTATCACGGAACTGCTTTCCCTGTAGGCTCAAAAATTGAACAAGAATGTAGCAACTGGTATGTGAAAGCCTTTGTGCTTCATCTCCCTGTGACTGCTGTCCATAGTTTAACATCATAGTCACATTTACATTTTAAATAATAGTATCTTGTTTTACAGTCTGAGCCCTGTATATCACTAAAATAAGCAGGCTATTCTATGGAAAGTGGGAATTCAAGGCGTATTAACTCAAACTACTTCTTTTGCTAAAGATCAGAACACTGAAATTCTGTTTTATGATTTTTCTTTTTAGTATTTGTGTTGGTGGCATTTGGAACTGCACTGATCATGATTGCCCAGGTATTTGTATTTCATTATTCTTTTCTCTCCTCACAACAAAAAGGATAAAGTTTTCAGAAGACAACAGAACCAAATGTGATCCAAGGTTTGGGCTGCTACTTTAAGAAGGAAGATTAAGCAGATGGATATTGAGAGTAGCAGTGGGCTGACTGGAGGGAAGCCTGGCCATACTTATCCTACTTTTTCCCACTTGCAGCCCTACCTCAATGTGCTACATCCACTTCTTGTTTTCTATCTCCTGTTTATGCTCAATGTTCTTTGTCACAGGTGGTATATTTCTATTGCATGTGCAGTACCTAGGCCAGGTATAAGGGTCTCCTCACTTCTAGGTGCAACTTTAATGCAAGTAATAAGAAATCTATCATTCTGATGCTCAGTGTGCTGCATTTTCTCTCTTGTAACAGCAGTTTATGTTTGGATAATGATCCTTATCTTTAAAGATAACTCGAATGAGTTACACTGAGGAACATGCAGCAGTCAGTGAAACTCCCTTTACAGTTCTATATCTTAGACAAGATTATACTATGAACTGTGTGAAAGAGATTTTTTTTTACAAATTAAGGATCCCTCTCTGTATGAGGTAGTAAGACTTAACAATTGCTAAGCAAGGCTGGACAATATGTATCGGTAAAACAGTTGACATTGAGAACTGCTTCATATGTCTTGTGTGTGTTGTGTGTGCATGTGTGTGGGGGGTTAATTATGACTACTCTAGCCTGGTACTGAATTAATATTAGTATCAGGAGCAGGTTAAATGTGCTCTCACAGAGCACCTCCTGCGGTAGCTGCAGCCAAAGTAAATCTAGTTCATGTGCTTTGATGCTTCCCTGTGGCATAAATAAAAGTGCAATAAGGGGGGTTGAGCTGGAGACTTGCTTCAGCAGTGCATTCCTGATTTGAGCTGGAAAAAAAAAAAGATGTCCCCTTATGACAGACACCTGCAGCTTCTTCATACCTGTGGTAACAAGGGTGCCATAGTACCTAGAAGGATGGAGAAAGAAGCTTGTCCTCTTTCACACTCAGTCGTGGAAAAAGATGCTGAGAGGAAGATTCTAGGATATTTCTGAATTGTAATAAAGGGAAAAATCTCTTGTATTTTAGAGAAATTGTAACTCAAAGGCATCTCACCTAGTTAGAACCAAAAGATGCTGCACATTGGAGTGTGCAATATGAGATGGTATCTGATGGAAATAGGTGTCTCTAGCATACTTTGTTTTTAAATGCCATTATAGCTAGACAGATTAAAGTTAGCCTGGATTATGTTCTTAGAAGTAAGGAGAAAGTTTCTTTTTTATCTCTCTTACATAATTTAAAGAATAATGATACATTCTTATGCAAGTGAACATTCTTGTTTGTTCTTTCTCTTTCAAGCTGAGTGCTCCATCACAGGTAGCTCTCATTTCACAACATTTGATGGGCGTCATTTTACCTTTCTTGGGATTTGCCAGTACATTTTGGTAAAAGGCAGTGGGAAAAGCAAATTCACAATCACTTTACAGAAAGCACCTTGTGGACAGGTAAGCCACATTTTTCTTGAAATGTTGAAACAAATGGATCCATCCATATTTCAGGTAATTTTGTGTAAGTTCTACTGTAAACTACTGGTTATGTTTAATAGCAAATATAAACTGAAACAATGTAACAGCTTTTTTTTTTTAGTAGTGTTTGTATTGCTACAAGTTGTATTGCCCTTTGTAAAATCAACTGCATCTTTAGAGGGTTAAAGTCTAAAGAGTTATTAATTTACGCACATTAAAAAACTATAAGCATCTTCAGTTATGGTACCAACAAAGTCTTAGGCTTTGGAAAAGCTTCTGATGGCAGCACTGAGCAGGTTTAATATACTACTAGTTAGGCAAGAGATTTTTTTTTTGGTAGCTTTAGATTTTTATTTGGCACATTATAACATATTTAATTTGTTGAAACAATGCCTTTTAGAAAACTATCAATGAGATAAGCCACCACACGTATTTGTTTGAAAGTATTTTGATAGGCTTTAGGAGTAAAGGTGCTTATAAAAAGTACTTATTTGTGAGAGTGGATTTAATGATGCTGTTAGTCACCTAGACGCACAGGAGAAGGGGCTCTGAGATTGTGACTCACAGCTGCCATGTGCTGAGGGCAGGCATGTCTGAACTCATCAGCAGGGAGCAATGCATGGAAGCTGCCCTGCTATGGGGCTCTCTCTTGTTTCCCTTCAAAAGCTAGACTATGAGCTAAAGCCTCTGCCTTTTTTGTAAGCACCTTCTTCTTCTGCATAGGTGTTGAGACTACTGTTTCTGCATTTCAGGTGGCCTCAAGCTTGGAATGGTTAGTTAGGTAGCCACTGAGAGACAAGGGTGCCACTGGAAACAACTCTTTGCACAACTCTAGGCACCTTGAAAAGTTTTTGGATGAAAACAGAGGGGCCCCTGGGGAGCATAAGACAGTTTAAGCTGATTATATGTCACCTTTTGTCCTGTATTTAGGTTCATAAATTTTGCTTGGATTGCGCGCTAAAATGATGTAGATAGTCAGATATTTATCAATTACTGTAATTCTGGAGAATTTATATCCTTCTGGTCTATAATCAGAGATCATCACTACATTTCTAAATGGGAAGCACCTTCATGTGTGCAAGAGTTTCTTTTTCCTGCATTGCTGCATTTGTGGTCTGATTGCACCAGCTTGATATAGATGGGATCGGACTCTGGCTCAAACACTGTTTAACCTACCAATGAGCTGTACCCTGGGTGGCCATGCAAGTATGGCATGTTGAACGCAGTAATAGTACTTGGGGACCTCTGTCCACTTACTACTAGAATGCCACGGTAGCTAAAATGTTTAATGGTTTGAGTGATAGTTTACAACTGATTTGCCTAATGACAGTTCTGTTATTTCCTGTCTATACAGATGTTTTTTTTCCCCTGTTTGTTTGGTTTTGTTTTCCACAGTAGTATTAATTTCATTGCCTGTTTCTGATGGTGAAACTTGTTTTTACTTAGAACTTTGACCACACCTGCATTGAGTCTATAACACTAGTTCTTGAAGATGATGTGAGGAAACAAGTAACTCTCACAAGATATGGTCAAGTCCAAACTGTCTCTAATCAAGTTTTTAACCTCAATGGTAAGAAGTGCATAGAGAAGAATTTTACCAGGGTTCACATTCTGTCTCTCGTATTCTCCAAAACTTTTAAATAATATCTGTCTATGAAAAGGGAATTTCTTCAAACCTAACTTATGAAGTGTACAATCACTTCATAGGACTTTAGTAATAATTATAGAAATGTACGGTGAAAATCTGTGAAACAGTCCTTCATTATGCCTTTATTTCTTTGCATTTCTTATCTTGCATAGTACCTAGAATTTCCACTCATTTTGTTTGTGTTTAGGGGGAAGGAGGTAAGAAAAAGAGAGAAGGTGAAGAGAGGTTGGAAATCACCTTGATGCTGATGTTAAGGTCTAGCTTGTTTAAAGCTTTTTAAAACAAATAGCATGGAATAGAATCCCTGTGCTCCATGGGATCTACATGGATATCAGTGCTGACTTATATTGTGATTTCAGACAGGTTACTTCACCTTTTTGAAAAGGATGGTAAAATAAATTGGCCTTAAAAACGTGTTATAAAATTAGGTACTGAAGGTAAAAATAATATTGTTAAATTTTGTAAATTATAGTGAACCAGTTACTGGATTTTTAGTCTCTTTCTGAATAAGTAAAGTGGGATTAAAATCCTTTTCCAGACTCCCGAAGTACAGAGTTTAGGGAGTTCTGTGCTAGTGGTTGCAGCTATGTTCTTTCTTCATTGAATTTTTAAGATCACAGTTCTGCTTTTGGCATTCAAGGCTTCCTATGGCAATGAGTTAAATAGCTTATTATGCCTTCTGTTATGCTGACAGTTCTGCTTCCTAATTTCTTTGGTAATTTCATTTTATTTCTTTTGAATCAGTCCCTACTCGCTTTCTTGTCTCTCTCCATAGTCTGCAACAAATATAATCTATGACAAATCTTTTGGTGTCACATGCTTGATAATTGTGTGTATCCAGTAAGTCTTATTGACTAAGAACATCCTTAAGCATTTTATCTTCCTTTTCTCAGTTTATGCACCTAAGGATGTATGTGTGCATGCATAGAGGCTGCTTGTGAAGGTAGGTCCACTTTTAGCCTACAGCTGCAAGTAGCCCGACAATGGTAGCAAATTAAAAAAGCAAATGTTGTTCCTAGATAACTCACAGGCTCACAGCTACAGAAAGGTGAGACATTTTTTATTGTTGACAGAAATTGCAGTTCCTGATTTCTGTTGTTAATGGAAATAAGCTCAGACACAGAGTGGGTATGGATATTTGGCTGATGGTGAGGTTGTACATAGTTTCTCATTTTATTTCTGAGCTTTCAAAATCTTTTTTGTTTAATGGGTAAACCAGTGCAACCTGGATGTTAGATTTCAGTGACTTTGTTTTCTTTTTCTTTTGCTATGTTCAGGGGCTATTGAAATTCAGAATATATCCTCTTTCTTTGTTCAACTGAAAACTAGTTTTGGTTTGAAGATATTGTTTGCTAAAGATGGAGAAAGGATCTATGTTCAAGTTGATGTCAGATGGAAAAGAAGAACATTAGGACTATGTGGAACATACAATGGGAATTTAAGAGATGATTTTCTGTAAGTTGCATGCTGTGCATTTAGATTGTGTTTAATAACAAGTGAAAAGTTTTGTTGAACAAAATCATCAGATTATTTAATTTCATTGACATGCTCAAACATTATTAAATTAACCCATAAAAAAATCTCTTAACTAAAATGGTAGTCACTTTTTAAAATCTGAAAGTCATAAAATCAGGCATTCTAAGATGTTTTGCTAAGTAATTATAGAAAGCTACTGTTTAATTTATAGAAGGTATGAGATGATGATATTGCTTGAATGCATGTTTCCCTTCCTGGATGCTCCCTTGTCTTCAGAGCAAATACATGAGCACTGACAAAAAGAGTAGGTGATACTACTTGTATCATCCTCACATAGTTCACACTTCTGCTTGATTTTTTCCCTCCACATCAATTTCCAATGTAAAAAAAAAATGTAATTCTGAACTACAGAAATATTTTAATTAGAAGGGCACACTTTTCTTATTCTTTTACCTTATTTCCTCCAAAGTTCCTCAAGCTATAATGTCACAAAACTTATCTAGCAATAATAAATGCTTCTGAAATACTTGGTGCAAGCCAGCATCAAAATGCAAACAGCCCCGCTATAGAACACCAAAACTGGCTAACAGGTCATTCCATTTACATACTTTAATAAAGGCCAAATCTCCTCTCACTAATGTCTCCTCCAACTAATTTCAGAGTACTTAAATTAAGCCTAAGTGAAGGCAGACTTTTCGTGTAAGATTGTTTTCACATGACTAAAATATTGAGGAAGAAGTTTCACATGCCCTCTCTTCTTCTGTACCTCACAGGTGGAAATTCTTCTGGCATGCTGATTGTTCAATGTGACTATGCATCTAAGCCTTTTTAATGTACTTGCGTCCTCACCCATGTAGTCCCTAAGGTCAGCAGGATGCTTGCAGTGTTGATCTTTTCCTTTCAGGTCTCCAGCAGGGATGATTGAAGGGACCCCACAACTTCATGCCAATGCATGGAAAGTTTCCTCAGCTTGCTCCATGCCTATCAATATTCCTGTGGTTGATCCCTGTAACGTTAATCAGCAAAATGGTATGTTTTCACATGGGATTAGGTGTATCTTATTATTATGGGACATTTTTTTGTTTTCTCTGTGAAGAAGTTGCACATACATGTATTTCAACTTCAGGTTTAGATGTGCACTATTTCTCTTTTTTTTTTTTTTTTTTCAAAGACCATTTTTTCCATACATATGGCATGTAAAGTGAAGCAAGTACTTGATAAATACAAGCTAGTTGATAATTTAGTGCTGGGTGTACTGGCCACGATTACTAAATTTTGCTGTCTAATACACATGCAGAGTGCTAGACATAATTATGTAAATTATGCCAGTCGAGAGGAAAAATATTTGTAGATGCATGTTTGTAGATCAACAAGAAAGTACAGGAGAAAGTGTTAAAAGTCCTGTCTTTGGCTTCTCCATGCTTGTTGCATTAAAAATTTCCTTATCCTCCATCTATATTCTCTGAGAAAAACTGAAGCAATAAACTGAGAGCCTTGGATTTGTTCGAATTCCTGAGTAAAGATTTAGTTTTGGCTGGTTGACATGCCTATGGTTTCTGTTGAACTTTCACTGTCTCCTTTTTGCATTGCTGTCCTTTTCAATTAATGAAGACAATGGGTAGGCTGTAGTGGCCAATTCTGAGAGAATGTAGTCTAACGTTTTTAATGTTTCAGACTTAAGACCTTACTAAAGATGTGTGATTTATCCATATTTAGAGCCTGTGGGAGCAAGCCTAGAATAACCCTAAACCTCTAACAATGTGGGGCATTCTCAGACTTTTTATGCCTTTCATATTGTCTGTCTTCTAAAGCAGTATGTCTCAGCTAAGTTAGCTCTTCCCAAGGTCCTTTATGCCTCACCTTCAGTTATGTGCTGCCTCAGTGAAAGTGGAGTTTGACATAAACGTAAGCTGCCTAGAGCAGGAGGGTGGACAACATGACCTTCCGAGGGTCCTTTCCAGCCTGAATTTCCCTACAGTTCTGTAATAATCACTGGGAAAAAGCAGTGGAGAATAAAGTGATCTACCCTATGCTACAAGCACAAGCATCTTTTCCAGGTCTATGATGATCTTGATCTGATGAAACTAAAAATCAATGATTATTTGTTTGTTTGTTTACTTATTTTGTCTGGTTAATTTTCAACCAAGTCAAGTTCAGGCCTTGGATCTAGTTTTCTGAGAGACTCTGTAAAATGTGAAATCCTTGTGCCACTGTGTGTATGTGGAAATGAACAGAGAGTCTGAAGGGTAGGGACACTCTTTTAGCAGCAAAAGTGGCTTAAATATGATCCACACTAGTGGTGTTCCTTAGATATTCCACCACTCGTGATGGTAGTCCACCTCAGTGGTCAGAGGAGGGTTTGCTGGTGCTAGAAAATATATGGCCAACTTGGGATTTGCGTGCCCTCAAGCTCTAGTTTGTAATACTTCCTGAGTCCACACACTAAAAAGTATATGGCCATTGTTGATTTTAAAGCTAAATGGAATGTCAAGTACAAAGAAACATATTCCAAGCTTTAAAGGACTCTTCTAACTACTCTTTTGAAATATATTATTTTGGCATTTAAATTTCCTGTACTATTAGAGGAAGGCATAACTGTTTAAGTATAGTTATTTTTATCTTAAGTTGAGTTTATTGTTGAGGGAGTTGCTTATAATATCAGTTTTAAACTATAGAATTTTACAGAAAGACATTGTGCAATAAACCTGTGCAAGGTTTTATTGCACAGCTGGCTATATTTGGTTTTAATATTCTGTGCTATTCATTTGACTAACTGTTAAATTAAAATGGATCTGGCTAAAACAATGTCATCTTGTCTTAGCTGAGTATGCATCTCACTGTGATATCATCAATCAAGACGTTTTTGCTCCCTGCCATGCCTACATCAGTCCAGGGTTGTACTACCAGCTGTGCCGCTTTGACGCGTGCAAATGTGGGAGCAGCTGTTTGTGTAATGCTTTGGCTCACTATGCTTACGTCTGTGGCAAGCATGGGGTCATCGTTGACTTCAGATCTCATATTTCTTACTGTGGTGAGTAACATTTCCATAATAGAATATCTTTTAGAAATATCTGAAATTCTACAAATATCATTTGTTCTACAAAATGTACTTGATCTTTTTTTCCTGAAAACTAGGATTGTGCCATGGTAAATGATGTACTTGGGGAGAATAATAGCCTTTACATTAGGCATCTGAGTTGGAGCCCCTGAGCTGGCTCACGGGGAGTGTCTTCCCTTTCTGTTGGTTACAGAGAGAATTGAAACTTCTTCTTTGAACCCCTAAGTCATATGGAAGCCCCTATTAGGCTGAAGTAGTCAGGGAGTGGCAGGAGTGGGGCTGTTCCCTAAGGGAAGGCAAGCTGGGCTGGGAGGGGCACCCGAGGTTGGGCAGTGATTGCCAAGCAGGATACAGTAATGATTTAAAACAAGACATTTCACAGAATCATAGAATATCCTGAGTTGGAAGGGATCCACAAGAATTATTGAAGTCCAACTCCCGTGTTTCAGTTTCTAAGCCATACAGTAATGCCTCAGCCTTAACTGGACCATTTTATTTCTCTTGGAAGCCTGAGTTACTAGATAGATGCCCTGTTTAACATATATAAGACACCCACTGCTTACAAAATAGACATTTCCAGTCAAAGAATTGTTTAACACAAAACTACCTGAATCTAAACATTTCTAACTTAAGAAATCAGTAGAACAGCGTATTTTCCTCTTGCTTTTCAACTAAACCCAGTTCAGCAAGACACCGTTTTGCTTTGATTTTTTTACACTGTCATGATACTGCTTTGTTTTCTATTTTTCACATATTAAGAGTGTGCTGTTCTCCCTTCTCTCTCTCTCCTCCAGCTGTAATGTGTCACAGTGGTATGCTTTATCATCAGTGCTCTTCTTTTTGTAAACACTCCTGTGCTTCACTTTCTATGGCAAATATCTGTGGTGATGACTGTGCAGAAGGATGTAATTGTCCTGATGGGAAATATTTTGAAGAGTCGGTCAACTTTTGTGTATCAATGTAAGTCATAAGAAAATAGCATATTTGTATAGGCACATTTTCCTCTTTCCAGTGAGATTTAAAGCAGCTTTTCTGCTGTTTCCCTCAAGATGTAGACTGCCTAAAGAAGATAGCAAACAATATGTGAAGATTTCATATTCTTTTTACTAATCAATAGCAGGACCTCATCTGATACTGTGTGTACATACATCTACTGCACTTCAGAGCAGATATATCAAACTGCTTTAGAGAAGAACGATGAAACTTTTTTACTTCATGGGAAAGCATTTTCACATGAAAACCTTGTTTTTAATATTTCAGAAAAAAATGAGAAAGAATCTATGTAACAGCGATCCATAAAGTAAAGGGTAGGATGGAAAGAGTGGCTAGGAGTGTCTTTTTTTATGTCTTACAATGCAAACCCCTTCAGTTAAATGGAAGAAAATGATCAATGAGAGGAAATAGTTTGTACGTTGTGTACCAAAATTTTACAGCTTACCATCATGGGTAGTTACTCAGTTCAGATACTGAATTAAAAACTGGAATGGGTATTTATATATAAATTTCAAGATTATACAGAGTTATTTCTGTTCATTGCAGCATATGTTTTGGAAAGCTCAGTAAAATTCATACTATAGGGATAAAGACTGTCTCAAACTATTAAAGAGTGCAAGGTAACTTGTTAATCACATGTTTTTGCATGGTGTCTAGGTAATTCAGTTGCTACTTTTAACCCATCTAGCTCTTATCACAGAGTTAATGGATTTTGCTATGAGAATTGCTCTATCCCATGATTTGGACAATGCTTTGAATGGGAACTACATGTTGTCATTCTACTCCCATAACTGGGAAGAAAAATTACATTAATGCACAGAAACAGCAAATAAATAATACAGAGATTGAGGAAAATCCTGGCTTTGTTGAAGATGATAGGAGTTTTGCCACTGACTTCAGCGCAGTTTGAGTGTCATCATTAAACTTTTGCCTTTCAAAGAAAGATTAAGGATACATACAAGGATTGAGTTAATGAATTATAAGACCTGCTTATCATAATAGCTTGACAAATGAATGGCCCTTAAATCCCATTTCATTTTGCTTTTGTAGCTAAATGCATGAATATTCTTTTGACAGATCTGCCTGTCATTGTCATTACAAGGGCAAAGCCCTCCAGCCTGGAGAAATCCTCTCTACGCCAACAGGCTCCTGGTAGGTTTGAGTGCCAAGAGTTTTATCTTTCATGTATTACAGTTTGGATGCTACTTTAAGAGACCTGAGAATTTTTTTCATGTAGAATGAAGGTTTATTGTATTGAGATTTTATTTTAGTTATATGCTTAGTAAAAGGGAGCCTAATATAAATTGGATTATGTACCTGGTTATTTTAACAAGATACCTGGAAAATTCTTTCTCCTTTTGATTTCTATTGTTTGAATTGGGTTGAGTTGTACTATCTTTTTAAACATGGTGGCTACAAAAAATTTTCCTGTTGAATAAACATGGGTTTCCTTTTCTTTTCCAGTCAATGTTTGAACGGAACAGTGAAATGTATTGAAGCCAGTACAGAAAACACAGGTCATTTACAGTCTTGTCCCATATTAAAGTTGCATAGAGAAAGATTTTGATATTGAATAGTCATTTGGTTTTCTCCTCATATGTATTTTCATTATGAGATACTTAACATCACAACTTATTTAAAATAGGCAGTAAAGAGCACAAGCTGTTTTGGTGTTTTTTCTTTTTTTTTTTTTCGTTTTTCTGTAGCACAAATTGTACTACTAAGTCACTTGGGAAATTAAAAAAATAAATAATTGCATGTGACTTCTAGATCAATGTGTTCTCATGGGAATACCTATAATTAAGCTCACTATTCACATTTAGGAAGCCTTAAGATCTTGATTTCTGGAAAGTAAATTTTTAATGCATTTCTAATAAATTTAAAAGGGATTTATACACTTAAAATTATGCCACTTCTAAAGATTCTTTCTACCTAAGGCATAATTATTCCATCTTTAAGAATGAACTGTGTATCAGATCCAGGGTGCATAGATCCAGATGCTTAATATTATGTTTTGGCCTTTGTTTTTCCATTAGAACAAACATTAATTTTATATCTCTGTAATATAGATTTTGTTATAAACGTCTGTTCAGATTGCATTCTTATGTGTACTGTAATGTAGGCTCACTGTACATTAAAATAAATAGTTTCTGAACAATACCAAATAGAAAACCTTCACTGTAAAAGAGCAGTTGATCTCATCTAACCTGCATTTTGCATTTGAAGTTCACATATGCCCAGATGGAAAAATCTACTATGACTGCAGATCTCCTGTGCCTGGATTACCAGCAGCGGGTGTGAATTGTGGGATCTCTTGTGCAAACCTTGCCATGAACTTCTCCTGTGTCCCCTCTCCACCCTGTGCAAGTGGCTGCATTTGCCCCCCCGGGTAAGCTTTGATGGAGCAGCTTGGAGCACAAGCCAAATACATATTTTCCACAGTTCAACTCTGCTTAGGTTTTTTTTCTTTTTAAATTCCAGTGGTATCGCACCTCTAATTTTGAAACTATTGTTCCATAAACACACAGTAACAGTTAAAAGGCCAACTCTTTTTTTGTCTTCAAGAGCCCTTTTCTCTTTCTTGCTGGTGTAAGGCTCCATGCTGTAATCCTGCCTCAGTTGAAGTATCACTGTTTCTCCATGCAGAGACCATGATTCCACTAACCCATTAGATATCCAGCTTACTCCCTGTTTTTTCTCAACATTCCATTTTATTTCACTATGTGTGTAGCCAATGGTCTCAGTTGTGTGCAGATCAGTGTGTAATGAGACTGCCAGAATTCCCTTCTAGCACCTTGTGGTGTTCTTAGATAACTAAGCACTGGTGAAGGACAGATTTCACTAATTGTTCTTGTCTGGTGTTCTGTAGTCCTCTACAACCTCTGCCTCAACTGAGAAGTTAGCTTTCAAGACCATTAGTGTTATAAGAATGAACAATTATTTTTAACACAAAAAAAATGCATAAATCTGTACAAGTAGTAAACTAGTAAATTTTTACTGAAACATCACCATATTTGCATGAACTTGAACTAGCAGTATTGACATGAAAGTTCATTTAAAAATTTGAAGAAATTAAAGTATAAGTTAAAAACCTAGATCTCAATCCCTACTCTCACAGTCATACCATTTCAAATCAAGTGTTACTTGATTATTTTCTGAATTATAAACTATAACTGGGGTACTAACAAGCCAAATCCCAAGTTTCTGCCCAATAATAGAGTAAAAGGCATGAATTATTTTTATTACATAAGAGAATAAACACTTATTTTGCTATTAGGTGGAAAATTAAATGTATAACATTTAGTGCAGTTAGTAATATTCTCACTGTTAAATGGTATTTCTGGACCCATTATGACTTTCAGGCTCATGGTTCCAAGAAGTGAGTATGGCTTTTAGCTAGGAAGGGGCAAGCCAGATTATCCTAAAAATTAGGTTCAGAAGTTTTATTTTTATACAAGAAAATGTTAAGCATATACCTTTTGATATTAAATCTAAGTGGAAAAGTCATGAAAACCTTGTTATGAGACATTTTACTGCACTCAGAACAGGACAGTTGCTGCAGCCTCAGCATCTTGCATGATACACAGGTGCTCTGCAGTTTTCAGGAGGAGTACCTACATTACCTACGCTCCTGCATGGGAGCGGCTGCCCCACACCAACATACCCCTTTCCAGATAGAAGGATAGAAGGACCTAGTGAGGTCTTCAGCTGTGCAAAGTGGAGATCATTTGATGTGGACAACTTTTGCTGATGAAACAATTGTCCTTGGCTGGATGGAAGACCGGTTGCCCTCAGTGGGGTTTAGACAATACAGTACATATTCAGTTACGTTGATCTGCTTGTGAATTTACTCTTTTGTCTTCCTAATTCTTTTATTTTAAAGGATGGCTGAGCATAGAGGGAAGTGTTATATTCCCGATAGTTGTCCATGCACCTGGAAAGACAGGGAATTTCTGTCAGGAGAAGTGATAGCTACACCATGTTACACCTGGTGAGTTACGTTCATTTTGCATACTTCCAAATCATCTGGATCTCTTAGACCCAAAGTAAAACTGATACAGAAAATTTGTTGAATACTTTTAAATCAAAAATATTCTTTTTTATAGACAGTTACAGGATACATCTTTTATTAGGTTCACTAATAGACTTGGATAAGTAAGAAGACTTTGGGGGGAGTGCTTCTTCAGATCTGTAAAGTAAGCTGAAGACATCGAAGCTAAAAGGCAGTCAAACCCAAATGCTTAATTGCATACATGTTAGTTAATCTCTGAAAGAAAAGACATTTGGCTTCTGGAGAATAGAATATCAGGAAAGACAACTAAGGAGAGAAAAAAGGGAGATTAAATGTATGACAGTAGTAAATAGTCTGCTTATTTGGGAACTGGACTCTTTGCAGTGTAAGTTACCACAAGTGACTGTATAGGAAGAAGATGAGCAACTTAAAAAAAAAAAAAGGCCATTAGAATTGAAAAAATGAGCTAGCACACAGCATCTTTTTAAGGAGCTTTACCTGATACATACTGACACAAACCAGTTTTTCATTAATTATAATTTGCTAGCCAAAATATCTGTGTTCAGTTAAGTATACATTTAATAATGAAAAAAAAAGATTGGCTTGGCAGCTTTCAGTCAGTTAAAAATTTCATTGGCAAATCAAATGAGCATTTACACTTACACAAGCAAAACCAGAGCATGCCAATACTACATTCATACAAATTTGTGTAAAACATTGAAATTAGCTGACAGGAATAGTATTCCTGCAAAATATCAACATTAATTTCTTAAACTCATTCCATACTTGTCTGATAACCTAAACTCTTACAGATAGCAACTGGAAGTATTTTGCTTTGAATATGTGCAGACCTTTATCAAAATTCCTTGAGAAAAAAATAATATCCATGTTTTATGAATGAGCATGTTGTGGCATGGTGTCTTAGCTATACTGGAGGCAGTGATGGAAATATTAACGTAAGCCATGAAAAGTTTGAGATTTGAATTTATTTCTTAGGCGTTTTTACTGTTCATATGGGCTGATGGTAAAATGTTCAACACTTTTCTGCCATGGCATCACCAATAACTTCAGAAGTGATCCACAGAGTAGCTCTCTGTTTCAAGAATTTTCTTCCGTTCATGAATTTCTGCATTATTTGAAATAAAGAACCCAAGAAAGCTTTTTTTGAAAATATACAGAAAATAATCCTGTTATGAGAAGATAATGATTATTAGTATTCCCTACAGTGTTTGTCGGAGAGGCATATTCAATTGCACCAGTTACCCCTGTCCTGCTGTATGCACTATTTATGGAGATCGGCATTATTATACCTTTGATGGACTGGAATATGATTATGTCAGCGACTGCCAAACTTACCTGCTAAAGGTAAGAGGATTGTTCATACATTTCTGTGTGTCCAAGTGAAAGTTTCCATGAAAGAACAAGTATTTTGAACACTGGGAGTTGATCTATAGAAACAAACATTAAGAAAACAGGTGTAGGAACAGGCGTGAAGGAAGAATCTGTAAAAGACATTTTGTGCTCAGCTGTTTGAGAACAGTAAATGGCTTGCATATCTATGTGGTTTAGAGAAAAATAAAACCCAATGTTCTCTGTTCTACCTCAACCTTGCTTTCATCACAATGAGCAAAGAATAACACTATAGAAACTGTACAAACTAGGTATAATCTATATTTATTTAATAATTATCTATAAACCCGGCTTGGCAGAGGGTCAGTGATGATCTCTGGCTGCTTGGAATTCTTCTTGAATGTGATCTGCATCAGATCTGGATTTTATGTGTATAATAATATCAAACACAATGATTTCATAATTCAACAATGAAATCATTTGTTGAATTTGTCTGGCCGCTACATGCTAATGTTCCTCACAGCACACATTTACAGTACATTGCTAGCCTTTTTTGTTTAAAAATATGATTACTGACATTTAGAAATATATTCTATTACTAAACGCACTATTGTTTATTATCATTGTTGCTATTTTTAAGGTGAAGAGTCTGTATTCTCAGTTACAGTAATATGTTTAGAAGAATACTCCTTTTCCTGACTGTCTAACCTTAAAAAAAGCCCCAGTTTCTCAACAAGGACTACTACAAATAGCTTATTTGATGTATGCTTTAGTAGAGTATTCACAGCTGTGAAATAAAATAAATTTGTTCCAGATTTTTGAGTTTGTTTAAAAAGAAAAAAGAAGAGAGGTTTGGTAAAGATAATAATACCTCAGAGCAAACTCTTATATAAAAGAGCTCTTACTCTTAGAGGTATATGAACCTTTGTACAAACTTTCCTCCACTAAGATGTAAAAAACAGGGATTACTTTACCTGTAAAATCTTCTTGCCTGTATGATGAGATGGAAAGGTGGCTCGTCATTTCATAATTCTTATGCTATCCATTCAGACAGATTTGTAAGACAAATCCATGCTGCTTTTTAAAACTTTAGTGTGATACTGGAATGTTTGGCTTTTACAATCAAATGTCACCTGCCACTCTACTGTGTAAGAAAAAAACCTACCTGGAAACAAACCACGGGAAGCATTTGTCATCTGAGAATAAAGTTGGTAGGCAGATAATTAAGGCACGTGGCACACTGTGGCCAATGGACCATTCTTCAGGTGAACATGACAAAAGTGATGAAAATGCTGCCTACATGGATCGCTTTTAAGACTTCTCAGACTTTTTTCAGCTTTTCAAGCTTTACTTTTTCCCCAAACTCAGCAAATGTGAGAAAGTGTAGCCAAATTTGTTCATAATTTTTCTTTCTTCTTTAGTATATGGAAAACTTTCCTGATCTATATTAAAGATCAGGAAAGACATCCTGATCTCTATTAAATTATTACAAATTAGGCATGGCATAATTATATCTGGAACAGGTGATGTATCTGTGGGCTAATTTTTGACTGTGAAATGTTTGGAGTATTTTTAGGGGAAAAAAAAAGAAAAAGAAACAAAGGATGGGATCATATGGCAGATGCCCAAGAGCTTTGAGGGAACTAAAACACAGAACTGATGAACTATGTGATGTGCAATCCTAGAATCAGAGGAATGGAAGATGGCAATATAACCAAATATTTTAAAAGGACTTAATGACTGAATTTGACAAGAACAGACCAATATGTCTGATTTACATATGAAGGAAATTCATATAAATTATAATAAAGACAAATTGCAACTTTTTTTTAATAAAAGAAGAAATTAATGCATGATCAATCTTCTGAGTTATTCCAAAGACAATAAATATATGGATGAGGATAGTCAAGTCAATATGTGTGTATTTTACCTTAAAGACCTTTTTGAGAGAGATTTCAACAAATATTTTTTAGAGACTAGTTTCTCATAGGATGAAAATGAGGATTCTTTGAGACATGAAGTCACAGAATCACAGAATGGGTAAGGTTGGAAGGGACTAACAGTGGGTCGTCTGGTGCAACCTCCCTGCTCAAGCAGGGTCATTCCAGAGCACATGGCATAGGATTGCATCCAGATGGGTCTTGAATATCTCTAGTGAGGGAGACTCCATAATCCCTCTGAACAATCTGTTCCATTGCACAGTAAAGTTCTTCCTCATATTCAGGTGGAACTTCCTGTGCATCACTTTCTGCCTGTTGCCTGGCACCATGAGAATAGCCTGACTTGACACCCTCCCTTCAGAAATTTATATACATTGATAAGGTCCCCTCTCAGTCATCTCTTCTCAAGGCTGAACAGGCCCAATTCCCTCAGCCTTTCCTTGTAAGAGAGATGATCCAGTCCCTTAATGGTCTTTGTTGTCCTCCGCTAGACTAATTAATAGTCTGAAGTTAAAAGACAGGAATAAGTGGCCTTTGTTTTTTAGAACAGAAAAATCCTGGTGGCATCACACAGGGATCTGTGCTCAGACCTGCATTCAGCATCTTCAGAAACAATTTTGAAAAGGTGGCGTGAGGATTGAGGTAGAGTATGCTGATGATAAAGAATCAGTCTGAACAGCTGAAACAAAAGGTTCAGAAGATCTTATGGCAGAAAACACTACATAATAAAATGGAAGATGAAATTCAACAGTGAAATATGCTAATCAATGAACACAACCCCCCCCCATAACTACACTACCATGAAGATAGGCACTAAACTAGCTACTATTATGCAGGAATAGAATTTTATGTGAGAAAAATAAATGAAACAGATGTAATTGACATCTTCATAGTGGCAACCTGAGTGATAATGTGGTGTCATCTGTTCTGCAATTTCACATATGCTTTTATTTGCATGTACACAGTTACACTACAGTTGTACCACATACTGATGTGGTTAAACTACATTATATATGCAGGCTTGATGGCATAACGAGGTTGCTCTTGTTTGAAATATACTTTTTTGTTCCTAGAGTAGAGGTTTTGATGTCTCTCTCTCTCTCTCTCTCTCTCTCTCTCTCATCTCCTTCCCCTGTACTGTGGCTGAGTGAATACATTTTTAATAGTAGTATCCGAGTAATATAATGAGTCTACCTTGAGCTACTATTTGTTCAGAAGGTATGCGAGAGAGTCCTGTCTCTTATAGCCTGTTATCCAAACAGGGAAGCTTGATGAAAGATGGGAAAATATATATATATATAGCTGCAAAAGTTTAAATGCCTTGCCTAACATCTTGGCAGGCACAGCTGTCCAGGGCAGCAGCAGGGCAGCACCTAAACCATGCAACCTGTTCCACAAACCAACTTTTTTTTTTTTTTTTTTTTAGTACAATCACAGAATCATAGAATGATTTGGGTTGAAAGGAACCTTTAAAGATCATCTAGTCCAATCCCCCTGCCATGGGGCTGTGTGTGCTGTTTGCTTCATGTTCCTTGCCTGTAAGATACTACAGAACATCATAGATTTGATAGCTGCTAGTACACATTCCATTGATTTAATGGTAGTTTGCAGTGCTGTTACAAGGCTGGTTTTTATGGATAAGGTGTGAAATGCTCACCAGACACTTGAAATTGAAGCAACTGAAGTGGTTGTAATATTGTATATACAACACTGTATATACAATATTTGTATTTGTCCTTTCACTTTTACTAACGTTTTTCCTGTGAGAAGTGGACAGCTTTGTCTCTGCTAATTTATATACTCTAAACAAAGGTATTGTAGCAGTGCAATAAGGGAAGTTATAGCTACAATAAATTAGCTGGCATACTGGCTCTTCCCAGATGTAGAAATGAGTGCAACAATCTGAATCTGATGTCCCTAGTGGCATGATAATGTGTGGTTCCCATACATGTCACCAGCCCTCACTGTTTGATTTGGCCATTGGCCTCCCTAAATGTGATCTGTCAGAACAACTATTTGATTTGCCATTGTATTGCACTGTACCAAGCACTGTACCTTTTATTATGTTTTAATAAGGAGCTCTTGTGCTCTTGTGGGAGAAAAATCAAGTATCAACTTCCAGCCAATTATGAAACTTCAAACTTTGTTTTCAACATCAGTATCATCTGTCAGGCCTTTTTGTTTAAGGTGACAGTAGGTGTATGAAAAATCCCTTTATAACTAGTTCAACAGATATATCCATCTCTCAGAAAATTGCCAAGAAGATGTAATGCAGCAGTCTTGTGAAATGATACCATCATCCTTATCAAGGAATTAGGAGTTACGTTACACACCAAGAAGTCCCTGTAGAGATAGATGACATTCACAGAGAAGACATCAATATTTACTTCTAATATTTTAAAACCTCAGTAATTTCAAAGGTAAAAAAGAAAAAGTCTTAGCAGACCAACTTGTTTATCAGTGTAGATCATGAAAACACTTCATTTTATCTAATCTAAATATGAATGATGATTTTAAAGTCAGACAGTTTCTTAATTAAAAGTATTTAAATATCTTGTTTTCTTCTATTTTCTGCTTATTTTTTGTCTTTGATGATGCTACATTCTTTCCCAAACAAAATGGTGTTATTTTTCTGATAAACTTTTACTGTGTGTTATTAGTAGTTGTGGTCTCTTTCCTCCAATTGCTGTTTCATAGACTTCTGCTTTTAAAGAAGAATTGCTGTCTTTCTATGACAAGTGTTGGCATTTTTCTAGTTTTGTGGTGGCTTTCAATCCTGCAGCTCAGTGTCCTCATTAATGCTTGTAGGGTCTGTGCCCTTGGAGCGCCTCAGACGTGTTCTCTTCCATGAAGCAGAATTATACTTTCTCTGCTTTGGGGGAGACTCCAAGGAAGAGTTTAGATGGATAGTCTACCCATCAGAATATCCTCAAATGACAGACAGGATTGTTGCAATGTTCTGCTGCAATGCTTATCTGCCTTTTAAAAAACCACAAAAACCCCCATTTCAGTATTTCCACTAACTTTAGTAGGTTGTCAGTAAGGTCCTAGAGCAGAGAAAATGATGGACTGTTT